GGGATTGCCCACGCGTTGCATGAGTTTAAAAATAAATATTGTATAATATGCAATAATTTCTAGCTTATTGACAAATTGTGTATTTAATATTACATACATTTGATGTTTATAGTAAATAATTACCTAGATTAGAAGATTAAACACTTGTAGCAAATTATTGAACATATACAATGTTATATGAAAAAAGAAATAGACCTTTTCTAAAACTACAATATATAGAAGACATCATCTTTGGCACAAGTCTCTAAGTTGTATGTCTTCATCAATATTCACTACGATTCTCTAGAAAATGATTTATTGTCTTTTTTCTTGCATCAAACACATTTATAAAAAAAAAAATATTGATTACAGAAGTTGTAATATGATTTTGATTTATGTTGACATATGCATCATCTCAACAAAGATGCTAGAATGTATCTTTGTGTTTATTTCAATGGAACTTTGAATCGTATTGAGAGAATAATTGATGTTTTATTGTATTTTTGTCTTATTTTCTTTATCGTTTTGCTATGTTTTTTTTATCTTTAATATCAATTCATTGATGAAATGATTCTGTTTTTCTAGATTCACAATTTGTGATGGATTAAGGATTTTTCAAGAGTCTTGGATAGAAGTGTTATGTCCACTACAAATTGTATTATTCATTAAGGGGTAGTTAGAAATTGGCTTTAGAAGGTGTGAAGATTAAAAAAAATTATTATGAATATCTTCAATCAAACTTTAACAATTTTAAAAATCATAAAATCATATCTTAAATTTTTTCACAGCATTTTTTTTGTTTTTGTTCATGTTAGACTTCTTTTTATCGAAACTTCTCTTTTGTGAGCTTTTAGAAAACAAAATCACAATTACCTATGTAAAAATAAAAGTCTTAAACATTTTTTGTATATTATATTGTTGGATTTAACGATAAAATAACTATTTTTCAAACCAATAAAAATTCACAATGATACATTTAATATCGAGATTAGCCATTAAATTGTTGGAATTAATTGACAAGTTATTAACACAAAGTATTTTTATTTTTAATAGATAATTCAAATGCCAAATGCCAAAAGAATGGGTGTCATATGACAGTTTCTCGTAATTTTGGTTTTGAAGAACTTTAAAATATTAGATAAGATTATGGGTTTATTTGGTGAATAGTTATAATGAGAACTATAATTAAGAATATAGCTATGAGTTACAAAACTAAAGAGACTAACCAAATGCCCTAATAAGTTTTCACTTTTAGCCTCATCTTCAACCTCCAAACTACGATCACTACCAGCCACCGTCATCATGTCGAAACCATGACCATAGCTGCGATTTCATTTTGCTCCATTGTAACCAGAACCACAATCACCAATTTCACCATTACCGCCGTAAACATATCTCATCCATAGCCGTGACTACTACTTCCGACGATTACTGACAACCCTATCGATGGAGAGACTCGATAAACTCAACAACATAGGAAGTTGTCGTCAGTTTAACATGAACGGAGACGAACACAACCAATTTGGTGATGACGATTATGGATTCGAGAAAGAAAAACAAATCTGAACAAATGAATGATTTGATATTTGTTTTCATTGTTTTTTTTTTTTTGATGTCGTTATGATAAAGAAAAGTTTGGCCTGAAAAAATGAAGGAGAAGGGAGTTTGTATTTGGGGTCAATTTCGTAGGCGGCCGTCGCCGGTGGATCTCCGGTGACAAGAACAAGTCGCACCTTTCTTTGCTCTTGTGACAATCAAGGGCAAAAATGTCAATAATACATATTACATCTTTTATATCCTAACCAATCTATCAATATGGTTATGTACTTAATTATAACTAGGATAATACACGCGCTGTGTGCGGGTTAAAATGAATATGTTTGTGTATATTCGAATTTGTGGAAGGTAAAAAATGTGTATACATAAACATAACATATTTCTAGGTAGTCCATATAGTTAAAAATTATCGAATACAATTTATATAGCAATCATTTGTAGTTGTAAG